ATCAGAAAGAAGGAACACGAGAAACTCGAGAAATACCCAGGGCTCAGAGAGGAGCTGGAGAGAGCCTGGAAGGTAAAGGTGACAGTCGTGCCTGTGGTGGTCGGAGCACTTGGGGCAGTGACCCCCCAAACTAGATGAGTGGTTGCAACAGATCCCGGGAACAACATCGGACATCTCAGTCCAGAAATGTGCAGTGCTGGGAACAGCAAGGATACTGCGCAGAACCCTCAAGCTTCCTGGCCTCTGGTAGAGGACCCGAGCTGAATGAGGGATGGACACCACCCGAGGGGTGAGACGAGGATTTTTTTTTTTTATATATACATATACATACATACACATATACACACACACATATACATATACACACACCGACATTTATATATGTATATAATTATTCATTCTCCTTTTTATATCAATTGTCTCATATTCATTATAAATACTGCATTTCTTGAATATATTTAATGAGTTGATCAAAATCCAAAACAAGAACAGCCGTTATATTACTATATTTTATAAGTATGTCGAATTTATCTTCTTAACTTTGATTTTTGTAGTTTGTTTGTACTAATCTTTTAAATTTGTTTTTGAACTCGTCCAGCGATTTACTAATTTTCAGATCCATCTCAAGCTTATTCCACAGATTAACTCCTATTACTGATACACACCTTTGCTTGATGTTTGTTCTTGTTCTGGATTTTTTGTATTGATTAATACCTCTTAGATTATAACAACTATCTCTGATTTCAAAAAGCTTCTGGATATTTTGACAAAGGAGATTGTTATATGCTTTATACATTAATTGGGCAATTTTGAAGTCAACCAGGTCATAGAATTTCATTGTATTTGATTTGATGAATAGGATTTGTGGGTTCTATATATTTGGACCTATTGATTATTCTGATTGCTTTTTTTTGTAGTTTTAAGACAGGGAGTATCTAGAAATAAGCACTTGAACGTGAGACAAGAGCAAATCAAATTATCAGACAACTGGTGACGGCTTGACAGTCTCTTAAAACATGTGACAGATACAGTAATGACATGATAAGGCACAGGTGCGGAACGAGAGGGAGAGACAAAATAAAACAGAACTATGACAGAATCGCGGGATGGTCCCTTCTTATTATTGATTCAATAACCATAAAAAATATTTTTAAAATATATTTTTTAAGTCCTTTGGTAGGTGTTGTGTGGATTTAAATAAAATTTTTACCGTGCCTTTGATGGGGGAAAGATATTTTTGATCAGTCCAGCAACAACAGTCGTATGTGATGTTAAAATGTCTTGCTTGCTACTGTTGCTCCTCAAATTCATAGTCTGGTTTAAGTTTAACTCCTTTTCTGAAAAAGTAAAATATGCCTGCATAATTCCAATTCTTGAGAAGTTTACATTGTGAAGCATTTGCAGAAAGGAACATTCCTTTAAAAATATATATATGTTCAGAGTCTTACTGCACAATATAAGAATTATATTTTAATGAATAGTTTTTAGTTAAAATTTAATTATCTTTATTTGTGTTTCCAGTTTTAATCCAGTGGCTCCAACTACTATGATGAAGGTTCTGACTCGTATTTTAACCAATGAGGATGGAAAGGTGACAAACAACTGTATCTGGTTTGAATTTATTTTGAATCCACTTTTTGACTACTCTTTGGCTGTACACAGAGCAATGGAAGGGTCATTGTCCCAGATCAGACAGTGTTGGAGATGGTGTGCTCAGGAAGTTCAGGAGACATTCGCAGTGCGATTAACAACCTACAATTTGCCTCCGTTCCAGGTCTGGAGAAAATCTTCACGAACAATCATAATGCTGATGTGCCTTTCATACCAATTCACTGCAAGGAACTTTGATTTTTTTCAGACTATCCACAGCAAAAGGAGGCGTTGAGAGGGAACCATCCTTTGAAATCAAAGGTTATGGCTGTATCCAGATCAACTTTAAGGAAGAAATCCAAGCCAAAAAATGGACAAGAAGGCCAGCCACCTGTTGGAATGAAAGATACATGTTTGTTCCTATTTAGAGCACTGGGAAAGATACTGCATTGTAAAAGTGAGTTAGCTGTTATTTTTTTATACTGTATTTTGTCCTTGATCTTCCACATAATACTGTATGCGCAAAGCAAACACGCAATTACAGTATCTGCGTGACTGTCAAACATACTCAGCTTTATTTAATTGTGATTTTCAATACAGAAAATTCAGAAATGCTTGAAAAAGAGGCTTGAAAATAGAACAGTACCAAAATGGCACGCACACAATTTTCTAGTGAAGTTGATGCATTACTGTGAAGTACACGCATTACTGGCTAGCACTACAAAAGATACAAGAGCCACTGCAACCTTCAGTGATTTTACAACAGGTTTATTTGAGTGCAAACCCAGCAGGTTAATGATAACAGTCCGGGATTTCCATTGTCATATTTTGCGCTTCATAATGTGGCATAATGTCTGGCATAATCTTCCCCCCCCCCTTCTCTCTTTCTCTCTCTCTCTCTCTCTCTCTCTCTCTCTCTCTCTCTCGCTCTCGCTCTCGCGCTCCTTCATGTACATAGGGTTCACGCAATTGTGACATGTTGGAACTGACACCGGTATGTGGGAAGAAGGGTGTAGAGACGCATTTCATGACTTTCCTAACAACTAATTATCTAGAAATCTAAAAGCTACTTTTCTGTGACGTCATGTGATTACTGAGGCTGACCTGGAAACGTACATGTCATGCGCTCATGCTGCCGGCAAGAGTCCGGTTCTACGGGCGGCGGAACAAAAGATGAAAGGCAGCATGGAAACTGTCCACAGCTAAACGCGGATTTGGAGATCCATCCATCCATCCATCTTCTATCGCTTATCCGGGGCCGGGTCGCGGGGGCAGCAGCTTTAGCAGGGAAGCCCAGACTTCCCTCTCCCTAGCTACTTCTTCCAGCTCTCCCCGGGGGGTCCCGAGGCGTTCCCAGGCCAGCTGGGTGACATAGTCTCTCCAGCGTGTCCTGGGTGGTCCTTGGGGTCTCCTCCCGGTGGGACATGCCCGGAACACCTCACCAGGGAGGCGTTCAGCAGGCATCCGAATCAGATGCCAAGCCACCTTATCTGGCTCCTCTCGATGTGGAGGAGAAGTGGCTCGACTCTGAGCCCCTCCCGGATGACCGAGCTTCTCACCTTATCTCTAAGGGAGAGCCCGGACACCCTGCGGAGAAAACTCGTTTCGGCCACTTGTATCCGGGATCTCGTTCTTTCGGTCACGACCCATAGCTCGTGACCATAGATGAGGGTTGGAACGTAGATCGACGAACAATATCCCAAGATAATGAAACTCTTCCACTTGGAGCAGGATCTCATCACCAACCTGGAGAGGGCACTCCACCCTTTTCCGACTGAGGACCATGGTTTCAGATTTGGAGGTGCTGATCCTCATCCCAACCGCTTCACACTCGGCTGCGAAACGCTCCAGTGAGAGTTGGAGAGCCCTGCTTGAAGGAGCCAACAGTACCACATCATCCGCAAAAAGCAGAGATGCAATACTGAGGCCCCCAAAACGGACCCCCTCAACGCTTCGGCTGTGCCTAGAAATTCTGTCCATAAAGGTGATGAACAGAATCGGCGACAAAGGACAGCCTTGGCGGAGTCCAACCCTCACTGGAAACGATTCCGACTTATTGCCGGCAATGCGAACCAAACTCTGACATCGGTGGTATAGTGACCGAACAGCCCGTATCAGGGGGTTCGGTACCCCATACCCACGAAGTACCCCCCACAGAACTCCCCGAGGGACACGGTCAAACGCCTTCTCCAAGTCCACAAAACACGTGTAGACGGGTTGGGCGGATTCCCACATACCCTCGAGGACCCTGCTAAGGGTGTAGAGCTGGTCCACTGTTCCACGGCCGGGACGAAAACCACACTGCTCCTCCTCAGTCTGAGACTCGATTTCCTGACGGACCCTCCTCTCCAGCACCCCTGAATAGACCTTACCAGGGAGGCTGAGGAATGTGATCCCTCTGTAGTTGGAACACACCCTCCGGTCCCCCTTTTTAAAAAGAGGTACCACCACCCCGGTCTGCCAATCCAGAGGCACTCTCCCCGCTGACCACGCGATGTTGCAGAGGCGTGTCAACCAGCAGAGATGAAAGTCCTCCGGATTTTCCCGGAATTCCGGGTTTTTCAAATTTTTATGAAAATTTCTCCGGAGAATTGAGGAAAATTTGCATAAAATTAATCCGGATATTAGTTGACAACATTGAACGAAGACGCGTTTGAGTTTGTTGTATTGCTTTCACGAGCGTAGCGATATTGAGGCACTAACACTAGTAACAGTAAAGAGATTTTTGTTTGTGTAAAAACGACAGAAGACATGATGGCGTTTGGCTAATGGTTTCGTAGAACGAATGGCAACTGCAACAACAGCAGCAAATTTTGCCTCTTGGGTTATACCATCTCAACTAGTGGGGGATAGTCCCCAAACAATTTTCGTCTCTTTATAAACACACCTGCTAAACCCCAGTGGAACGAATAAAAGATGCCGTGGACAAGACAGTTGTCGTAAAAAATATATTTGGCCAAAAAGGGAAAAACACAGATTGGCAGAAAATCGTGCCCGTCCGACTTCGCATGTCGTCTAGGCTAACTTAGCTTAGCTGTTGTCGTGTGTGACGTTATTTGCGTCGGCGCTGATTGGTTGAAATCAAAAGACGCGCTTGCGTACATGTTCGCGCTGAAGCACGCACAGCAGAGAGCAGCGGATAATCTACTGCTGAGGCTCGCTTTGCTTGAGTGGCGTCGCCACAACAGTAATACCCTCGCCTCGCATTCTCATGGCCTCGCCATATCTTGGAGATTTCGAAATTTCGGCCTGAGCGGAAGCCACAAAGAGTACACGTGTGCACACAAAAGGAAGATTAATCATTGAATGTCGAGTATTTGAATAGCGTTTTGTGTAAACTAATTCATGCATGATCGGCCGTGTGCGTGCGTGCGTGCGTGCGGGTTTTTTTTTTTTTTCCGGAGTTTTCAGAAAAGTCCACTTTCATCTCTGAACCAGTACAGCCCCACAACATCCAGAGCCTTGAGGAACGCCGGGCGGATCTCATCCACCCCTGGGGCCTTGCCACCGACAAGCTTTTTAACCACATCGGTGACTTCAACCATAGAGAGAGGAGAGCCCACCTCAGGGTCCTCAGACTCTGCTTCCTCCAAGGAAGGCGTGTTGGTGGAGTTGAGGAGGTCTTCGAAGTGCCCACCGGTTCACAACGTCCCGAGTCGAAGTCAGCAGCGCCCCATCCCCACTGTACACAGCGTTAGTGGTGCACTGCTTCCCCCTCCTGAGACGTCGGATGGTGGACCAGAATTTCCTCGAAGCCATCCGGAAGTCGGCTTCCATGGCCTCACCAAACTCTTCCCACGCCCGGGTTTTTGCCTCGGAGACCAACGAAGCTGCGTTCCGCTTAGCCAGTCGATACCCGTCAGCTGCCTCTGGGGTCCCCCAGGCCATAAAGGCCTGATAGGACTCCGTCTTCAGCTTGACGGCATCCCTTACTGCTGGTGTCCACCAGCAAGTACGGGGGTTGCCGCCACGACAGTCACCAACCACCTTACATCCACAACTCAGATTGGCCGCCGCCTCAACAATAGAGGCACGGAACATGGTCCATTCGGACTCAATGTCCCCCGCATCCTCCGGGACATGGGAAAAGCTCGATCAGAGGTGGGAGTTGAAACTCTTTCTGACAGGGGATTCTGCCAGACGCTCCCAACAAACCCTCACAATACGTTTGGGTCTGCCAGGACGGACCGGCATCTTCCCCCACCATCGGAGCCTACTCACCACCAGGTGGTGATCAGTTGACAGCTCCACCCCTCTCTTCACCCGAGTGTCCAAAACATGCGTCCGCAAATCCGATGATACACTCACAAAGTCAATCATTGAACTGCGGCCTCGGGTGTCCTGGTGCCAAGTGCACATATGGACACCCTTATGTTTGAACAAGGTGTTCGTTATGGACAATCCGTGACGAGCACAGAAGTCCAGTAACAAAACACCACTCGCGTTCTGCCGGGGGGGGGCATTCCTCCCAATCACGCCTTTCCAGGTCTCCCTGTCACTGCCCACGTGAGCATTGAAGTCCCCCAGCAGAACAAGGGAGTCCCCAGCAGGAGTACTCTCCAGCACACCCTCCAAGGACTCCAAAAAGGGTGG